ATACATGTATATTTATACTGCCATAAAACAACGGAAAGATGTAGAAAAATACGGCAAAACTTAAATTGGAAACAATGAAATACGAACGTCAAGAAGGCAACTAAATTTTGATCTTGTGATTTAGTCGATTAAAACAACAGTCATATCAAATACAAAACGTCCCATTTTAAATGGCTGCAGAGTAACATATACCACAAAATATATGCAAAAACGTATTTCTCAAAGTCTTACACAATATTTCAAACAAGCTTTATTGATTTTGCATGTTACAGTCAGAACCTATATCTTATATGGGGGATTGTCCAATAGCTGAGATTTAAATAAAATTTTATTTTGCATAGGATAAAAAGTCAAGTTTGCCACACAGGTATTTAGATTTCAGGAAAAGACATGTTATTGTTGGAAGGAAAGACGGAATGCAGGTTGATTATGCCATGCATTTAATAATCATATGTGCAAAAAGTACGCTTAAAAGTGTAGCATGAAAAGAGACTGGTTAATTTTGTCTCATTCGAAAATGATTGTTGTTTATAATTTTCATTTGCAAAATAGAATGCGTACTGAAACTATAAATGCGAAAAATTAGATATTAGATTAGATGGTTATTGTACAAACAATAGAGTCATATAAAAATTTGTTTATGAGAGTTGTTATTTCTCTCATAAACTGAGAGAGAGAGAGAGAGAGAGAGAGAGAGAGAGAGAGAGAGAGAGAGAGAGAGAGAGAGAGAGAGAGAGAGAGAGAGAGAGCATCGGCCTGGATGAGACGCATATGGCAGTGAAAATCGCATGCAAATTGATTGTCCTGTCCGTTCGTCCGTAATCTTCCGTAAACAGTGCATTGGAAGAACAATGGGCTAGGAGCGCCGACAAGTGGCGATTTTTTTTTTCCTGGCCAAACTGCTGGAGCGAATCGCTATTGCAATATACCTGTAAATTGGGCTTGATGACAGGCGTCTGGGAAAATATCATACTGACATTCGTCTTGTCCGTTCGTCCGTAATCTAAAGAAAACCGTCTTTTTTAGCCTATTCCAAAGATAAAGACAAAATGTCGATTTAAAAAAAAAAATGCTTTCTTCCCGACGGCTGGACTTATCTTCAAGTGTCATATGCCAAACGATTGACCTGAATAAGACACGTCTGCCAGTGCTAGCTACCTTCAAATGGCTCCGTCCGTTCGTCCGTGAGCTCCAGAAAATCATTTGCCGCCGCGTTGTTTCAAACCAGTTTGTTGTTAGATTAAATCCACTTTTCTCATTACTATGTAACTTTTAATGTTGTTATTTTTCTTTATTCACGCGTTTAAACTGTTTATTCGGATGCAACGATCACGCCACACCCCTGATTAACATATTGCACTAATGGGGACTTCTTTTTACTTCAAAGGAAAATATTAAGTGAGAAATATAATTTCGTGTGGAGACAAATATTGTGACCCTTTGACTGGGATTTCCTTGGTCTCTGTCTAGGATGCGGCGAATGTGGATATGAGAGAGAAGTTTGCCAGTAGCTTCTCATGGGTCGGTGGTTCTTTCCGATGATTTCCCGGTTTCTTCATCCACCATACTGGCCGCCATGTAGAGTCTATCGTGTGCTGAAAAATGTCGTTAAACCCCACAACAACAACAATTTGTTATGAATTCATTAACACAATTTAGCTGTGTCAAATGACCGTAATGTTGATGTACGTTCTTTACGACATCATGTCATTATTTACGACATTGTGATATGGAAACAAATACTTTGTACTTATCTCCAATATTGTGTAAATGGAAACACAGATCGAGTATGTAATAAATTAAAGAAATATATTGAACAGCTAAAAGCCAAAATGACAGCATTGTTACCGAACACATTCTAATATGGTAAGTTTTTGATGGTCCTCCCATGAGTCGTTCGGTGTTTCGTTGTTTCATTAAATCCATTTTCGACATCCAAACTTGGGATTTATTTTAGAAAAGTAACATGTGTCAAGTTAGGCGTTGCAATATATCAAACTGCTTTGCAATATATCAATCTGCTTTGTATGGAAGTATCAAGATTCCGTCGTCATGACGATATACGTTTATAGCATACGTGGCAATTGTTAAAACTAACTGCACTGTTTATATCTTAACTCGTATTTGGCAACACAAAACTGTGGCAAACAAACTCTAGCCATGGGATCACTTGTCTGGATTAATTTAGTTAATATTTATTATATACGCCTATCAAATTATCTCTTTTTTATTCTTATGAAATTATATATGCATTTAAATTATGTGACAAGTAAATGCCTTTCCATTTAGATCACCTTGTGCACTCATAAACCAAATTTCATTCCACATTTTTGCACATGACGTGCAGCGCAACGAAAAAGCAAATAAAGCAGCCAAAAAAGCCCTGCAATGGCCGTTACTCAGACAATTCAAAATAAATCGACTTCAATCTTATCTCAAACAGCATGTTCTATGTATGTATGTATGTATGTATGTATGTATGTATGTATGTATGTATGTATGTATGTATGTATGTATGTATGTATGTATGTATGTATGTATGTATGTATGTATGTATGTATGTATGTATGTAATGAAAACTCGATAGACTAAGTTTCTAAACATGAAACTATTATTAGAAAATGCCATTCCTCATTATAGAGCGAACGGCACTGATGAGGTAGTGTGATGTAGGACATGTATATGACGCGTCCTATAGGTTAAGGGCGATAATCGGCAAGAGTTATCTTGCCAATATCCGCTGATTGTGGAAAACATTCATGCCTAGCATATCGACTTCCACTTTGTAAGTCAGATTTTTATTTAATGTTAACCCATTTTTATAAGTTTTATGATGACGTACGATCAGAAAAAAGATCTTGTACAATTTATCAGACTGCGGTCTATAAATGTTGACTGATTACATTTTATTTCGACGAATCTGTATATTTGTTTTCAAGTTTGATTTTGTTGTCTTCAATTTCTTAAATCTTTTCATTGTATGGAACTTTTAATCGATTTTACATTAACGTTGTTTTGATGATTTGCCGTTAACACACATAGACACACACACACACACACACACACACACACACACACACACACACGGAGCTGCCTGTTGTAAACTTTGCTGAATATATACTATGTAACCATGAAGAGTCAGCCGTGAGAATTCTTCCTGAAAATCGCGGTAGTTAATATTCCCAACTAGAATGCATTTCGTTATCATATCACTATTTAGAGGACAACACTTTCTTGCCCTCCTTTCCGATATCTTTGTAACGAGTCTCCACATGAATATTTGAACCAAGGTGGCATGGAATTGTCTTACATTGATTAATACCGAGATGAATTGGAATTACGTTAAACCATGGCTTTAGTTTCAGATACTTCATCCAATCTAATTTAAATTTTTGGTGTAAACTCCCACTAGAGTATCACAGCCTGCCTTTGTTGCCTTTTTTATACCAATGTCTCTGTGAAAATTACAATATCTGATTTTTCACACTTCAATTAAATTTATAAAATAAAACTTCAAAATGCAGATTAAGATTTTCATTCCGACGCCGTTGTCAAACAGTTTTGTCCTTTTAATTAACTCTGTACATTATGACGCAAATTTGTTTCTTGTTTCATCGAGCTATTACTTTAAAATTATGATTTACCTTTTTGATTCTATTAAATTTCATTACATTTTATCGATGACATTTCATTTTTTTACATAAACTTACATTGGAAATATTTAGCAATTACAAATTACAATGATTATAACCTATCTCATTCAGAAATGAAGTACATATAATGAAACGACAAGTGATGGAAAATAAACAAAGCAAATTGTATTTAGTTGCTAGGCGAACACTTGTTTTGCTTCAAAGGGCATTCTTTTACCGATTGAGCACCATTTCTTCTATTCCTTAGAGCCAACGATTTAGAGCGAATCAGCGTTATTTTTTTCATTCATTTTCTTCTTTTATTGCTGACAGATTTGGCAGACTTTTACTCATGGGTTTGTTACTTAATTCCAGTTGACTTTTGAGTTTATCATCCAAGGCTGGACTTTTTAAATCATTTGCTTGCCTGGACATTCTTCTAATTTGAGCAGTTTTCTCGAAATGATTAACTGTCTCAATGGCTATTTGGGCACCCTTAAATTTCTTCTTTCCTTTATGTTCCTTCTTAATGCTCATGTTTTTGTTTTCCGATTCGGAAGAGGGAACGTAGACTACATGTGGTCTGTAAGATTTGCATAGTTGTGTCTCGAGATGTGTGTATAGATGGCGCAACATGTTAAAACTCGTCAAATTAGTGTCAACAGGTGGTAGATCGTTACTATTACTCGGCAAAGATAACTGAGAACCCGACACATGGCGCAGACCTTGCATTCTGACTCAAATTAATGCAAAGAACACCTTTGGTAACCCTAAACACCACACACCATGAAGATGCATGTCAGATCCAAATGCAAAATGTCATGTTTGACTTTGAATAATTAATTACACAGTTGTTATTTATCTTGAAGATTCGGTTTTTAATGCTTCACCACAAATGTTTGCATTAAAACGTTTTTCTTCGTTGTTGACGTTTAGATGAAGGCTTTCATATTCAAAAGCCAGATCACTTTAACTGAACTGTTTCAAGCCGACCAGAAATTATGTATCTGAAAATAGAAAGAGAGGCAGTTGTAATAATGAGTACTTTACATGTATAACTTAATAAATAGTGATTATGTGTTCCCCTTCCTGATTTCATTCTCTAATCATGTTTTGGCCCAATTCCGTAAAAAATAAATAGCTGACAAATAAATTTTTGCCGTTTTCTCCGCAAAAAAAATAATTGAGTGGGCGCCCCTGGTAGAAATGAAAGTAAATGAACTCTATGTATCATAAAACAACATAGCCTGTGAGATCTACTAAAATCTGCACGTCAGTTCATATTCGGCACCATATTTGTTCGATGAAGTAGAAAGCTCTGACCTTTATTTGAACTGACTAAACCAGCTGATAACATTATAAACAACCGCTCCGGTGGCCTAGTGGTTAGAGCGTCTGCCTTGGATGTGGGAAGTCGCGGGTTCGATCCCCGGCCGAGTCATACCAAAGACTTACAAAAATTGAACTAACAGCTGTCTCACTTGGCGCTCAGCATTAAGAGGTTAGCATTAGGACTGGTCGGCCTGGTGTCAGGATAATGTGACTGGGTGGGACATCAAGCTACATGTCTTCAGAATGATGCCCCGGTGCTAGACATCACTATAAACTTCCACACTGCACATATCGTTGCGAAATGACTGCTTGTTTATTTACTACTTATTATTCTGTTAAACAACATTATTCACGTGTAATGTAATAATATGTTGAAGATAAAATATGAAACTGGTTCCATGTCAAACAACTATCCATCATGTGACATTACAAATGATATTGCGCTCTGTCTATTGTGTCATCAGAAAAATGTTCGTCAGACACATTCAAATGGTCAATCTTATCCCAGTAAAATGTGTTAACTAGTCTGTATTCACCGGCAACAATGGAGGCATGCTATATCTAAATTGAGGAAAATGTTGCCGACCGTAATCAGAATATTCTCGGTCTTTTCCATCAAAGCGACCAAAAAAAAAAGGCCTCTGATGTAATTCGTCGCTATTGATGAACTATATTTTGAACTACGTTCGTGCACATGAAATAATATGGCAGCTGAAGGGGACAAATTCACAATCCGAACATTCTCAGACGTTGCTGTTGTAACATTTCTGATGCACGCAGCCAGAGGCGAATTACCGAAAATAAAATTGGTCTCACGGAAATGGGCGAGCGATGTTCCGATCGTGGCAACATATGTGGGCTATCGGAATGCCCTCGTCTTTTTTCACAACTTATAAAAATTGAAACTAACTTAAATGTAAATAATGACACACACCCCAACTCAACAAGCCAAAATACTAGACTAAGAACTACATTCCTTTTCAGTAATAATACCAATAATGATGATGTAAGACCACGAAAGTCCGAAAAAAATGATGCAGTTTACTATATTGCAATACCTGAATGGTATTGTAATAGGTGAAGATTATTTGATATTAAACGTTGAGATGTGAAATGATGTTTGACCTGCGAGATTTTGGCATATATGATCATGTAATTTTTATCTGTCACTGAAAACATCGACCACGTGTGAATTACTTCTCCCATTCCTGAACGTATGCCACCCCCACCCCCACCATTGCTTAGATCGCCGTCTCTTATAAATGTGTACTCTGTAATTTTTATAAATGTGATTATACAACCTTGCTCAAGTCCTCGTAATGTCACACTGTTTTCATGAATATTAATGAATTCGTCAATAAATTCATATAAAGACATTAAGAATTCTACAAGCCCTGGGGCATCAACATTAAGTGGAAAAAAGTTTGCATGTTAGCAGCATCCTGTTCATTTACATGTTGGTCCATGCGTGTGTTGTGTTGTGTTGAAATTTCTCATGAATAGTTTTGGAAATTAATTATCTTACAGTACATAATTTTAGAATATCAAAGCCAGAAATATGATGTTAGTTCATAAATTAGCGACTTCAACTATCCTGTGTAGGTTTATCACCGAAACAGCGGAGATGCGTGATAGTGATGGAATCAATGTGCCCGGATCACATTTCCCTTGTCAGACTTTTGTTGAACAATGAGTTAGAATTGATGTTACTACTTATTATTTTAAGTTCTTTGTTATGTGCAAAAAAAGCATGTATTTGATAGGAACTGTTTCTAACCTTCATTGCATCATCAGTATTGTTACGTGACAAGGGCTGGTACTCAGTAACAAAAAAAAGTGAAAGCCATCAAGCTTTGTATATTTCAACAAAATAATTTATTTCCCTAGACAACAATTTAAAAATTTGTTAATAAGACTTACAATCTGTGAATATAATCCAAATATGATTCTAAGAATAAAAACACAAAGTCCTATCACTAAATAGTCCAATAAGAATCCGGGTTCGAATCCCGACGACGTATGAATATGGAAGGCGATGACATCAGATGTAGTTCAATGTGTGAATAACAATAATTCCTCACGTGAATCACAGTTTTTGTTTCCGAATAATTCCATAATTAATTTTCTTTGAATATTTTTCAGAATAATTTATAAGAAAGTCAACTTGTCCAGGAAAATAAATTATTGAATCCAAAAATCAGAAGAATCAAATATTTTGACAACAAACTAAACAATTACGTAAATACACCTTGTTCCTTCAAGATTTTGAATGGTTCTGACCAAACCAATATTAAGAATGCGTATTTACATTCAAAACATCACTTCAAATCTCGCTAGATTGGTCATGTGGTGTCTTTTTACGCTAAAATTCACACGTAGAACAATGTCACTCCACTAAAAAAAAATCATAAAAGAGGTTGTTTACAAAGAATGATCACGCGGAGAAAGTATGTCCGTGATGCTGATCAATCATTTTAACTTCCTGTTTATTTGCTACCAAGGTAAGATGGACTCAATGTGAATTCGCAGGTATTAAATCTTCGTCTTGAATAAACAAACTTTGTGCTAAAATTCTCGCTAATAAAAATAGAATCAGAAATCCGAGAAAAATATTCATTGTCCGTTTCGTTCATTTCTACGTAACATTACGCATGAATGTACAAAAATGATTAAACGTAAAAATAAGCACACTTCGGACACTGAGATAACAACTTAATTCAAAATTTTGTTCTCAGTAATTTTTCCATGCAGTTTGAACAGTTGACTTTGTTACTGCCATGGCTAGCCCTGAGAAAGACAAACATTGATTGGCTGACTAAGGTCATGTGACGTGAATATATATATATATATATATATATATATATATATATATATATATATATATATATATATATATATATATATATATATATATATATATATATATATATATATATATATATATATATGTGTATGTATGTATGTATGTATGTATGTATGTATGTATGTGTGTGTGTGTGTGTGTGTGTGTGTGTGTGTGTGTGTGTGTGCAATAAACTGACGACCAGCAGTGCAAAACTAGTATCTCACTAGTACAAAACTAGCTCAGGCTATGAGCGCTTTCGACACTTAATGAGTCTTTTTCAAAGGCATATACAAAGCATAGACAAAACAAACAAATAAAACGTAGAAAACGTTGTGTTTGTAAAACTGTGTGTGTTTGTGTGTGTGTGCGCGCGCGCAGACTGAACTGGCAGAGAGCTGTCAGAACGGCAAAATATAAACATCTAAGTAGAAAAGAATTTCGGCCTTGTATGCTAATACCATCAATTATATATTTTTACATAACCGATACTTTAAAATCTCAAAGCTGAAATTTTAAGTAGATTTATTACATGAGTGCAATTGAATTTAAATGCCTTATAATTATTATATTCTAATTCTTTACAAAGCCGCTGATATCTCCCACCATACCATTCAGGCACACTAGCACTAAAATTATTTTTCCATTAAGATGACTCGATTTTGACAGAATGTGTTACAGTCAAACTAATAAATTTAGCTGTTAATATGCACCGTATATGCACGGGACTTTAATAATAGAGTTAATTTCACCATAATATGGCGTATAATAACGTTGTCTCTTTGCACTTAGACTGTTACGTGTATGCTCGTACAAAAGTAACAAAGAAAAGAATGAAGCCAACAAGCATTGCAAATTTTAATGAAAATAATTTATTTCCGTAGGAAAAAAAGGTAAAATTGTGGGGAAAAAAGACTTACAGTTTGTGGATATAATCCAAACATTAATCCTGGAATCTAAAATTATAAGTGCTATCACTAAAAAGTTCTAAATAATATGGAAGGCGATGATGTCTTCTATAATCTGCATTGTATTGATGTGTCAACAGTTCCTTATTGAATTGTTATGAATCAAGAATAGTATTCCGGCTTTAGAATTCCAAATAATTTCCACTGAATGTCTTTGTCCAAGAATCTTTGTGAACACAAGTATTTTCCAGGGTGAATAAATTCTTTTATATGCAAAAATCAACTTAAATGGCAGCAAGGAGACAAATACTTTGAGCTAGAAGGTGTTAATTTACGTCTGACTCAAAAACACTGAAGTCTCAGTATTAAACCAGTCTAAGAACGCAATTTCAAACCCGCGTGATGGGTCTGTTGGTTACTTACTACAAATCATTTAACACGTAGGTTAGAATAGCCATAGATAATAATCAGTGATTCCCACACTAGAAATAAATTTTTAGAAAAGCTTGTTTACAACTGAGCTAACACGTGGGCCGAATATGGCCTTGGTAATAATCAATCACTTTCACTCAGTGTTTACCAATCTCTGAACCAAGTTCATGTAGAAAAAAAATGTAGCAATCGAATTGTGTTATTATCGTGTCAAAGCAGGACACTGAATTTTCCAAAATAATATCAAATCCAGTGAATAAAATTATCATTACAATAACATGCATTAAAATAAAAATAAAAATAAAAGGGAATTTAAAACTAATTCACAAGTATTTAAATTACATATACGTAACAAGACAGAATAGTCCGCTGTATATTATTGGAAGTTGATAGAGTTGTGACAGACACTGTGTTTATGTAAAGTCTCTATTCGAGATTGAAAAACATATTTTATCTCACTTTTATTGTTTATTCAAAGCCATTTTTACGTCCAGAACTCTATTCTTTTCGATATAACACATATATGCTGTGGGTTTTTTTTTTTCTTTTTTTTTTTTTGTTTTGCTCTTTTTGAATATTTATTGAAACCGGCACGAATCTTCTTCAGTTATGTTTGTAGATAAGGATAGGAGACGTTGAAACAGCAGCTGATAAGGTCATTAGGAGCATCAGATTTGCAAAGCATAACGTGCCAATGTTTACCCTACTATTACGTCTGGTAAATTCAGCGATGATGACATCGATTACACCTCCTTGATTGATTGACTGCCAGCAATGGAGCACCTTATCAGCCATTGAAACAAATTAAAACGATTCTCACTTCTAGGACATTGGAAGGAGTTGTCTTACATGTGAAAAAGGAAAAGATATGATCACCGTTTTGGACAGCAAGATATTTTGTTGATTGTGACATTAATGAAACGATTT